CTAAACAGCTTTGTTGGGGCCCTTCTCTAGATGAAATACACTGGCTGGAGGGCTTGGTGTATGGGATGGTTATTGGGGCTTTCGAAACAGGATTAAGTCACCAAGTTGCCCTTAGTTCACTTGCCAGGAACTGGGAATCCTAGGCAGCGTGGCTTCCACGATGTAATGAAAAAGTAAAGAAAGTGTACAGAAAAGCCCAAAGAGGCTGTTAATCTTTGTACCTCACTGGACACTGAGCACAACACTGAAAACATAACAGGAAACTATCCCTCAGCAATAACAAAGCCAGGAAACAAGCAATAAAGCATCCAGCTACTGCCTAATCTAACATGTATGAGACAGCCACCACCTCCTGCAGCAAGTGCGGCAGAAAATGGAGAAAAGCATCTGGCTCTCCTGGGAACCTCTGCTTTACCATCGCTTCCCAAGCTTTGCTATTCCAAAGCCAGAGCAATGTGTGCGTGGTCTGCTGAACTGGAGATGGTTGCGGCTGCTTGGGGTACCTGAGACCATCAGTGGCAGAGAAAAAAGCCTCTCACAGCCCTCCTGGAGAGGAAAACTTCAGAGAAGCCATCTGCTTGACACAGCACGTGTGCACGTCACCTGTCAGTGAGGAACACCACCTCTGCTCGAATAATTGTCATGAAACATTGCAAACAAGAACAGGGCTTAGTCACTTGTTCAAGTCTTATCCACATTTGTTTTTACAGATGTGCAGTTCATGGAAATGAGATGATTAGCTCATCAAAGCATCTGTCAAGGGGAGAGACAAACCAGCTTTTTGCAAATGCATCCAAGTGACAAGACCTGTCGGATACGGGCTGTGGTGAATCTCTCTGAGTCTTATTTTTGGATCTATTATAATCAGCCTTACCAGCTTATTAGTTATCTCCAACACATCAATGAGCCAGGGAAAGATAAATATATAAAACCTTGTCAAACATGCAATCTGATCTTTTTTTTTTTTTCCCATGAAGGATGTATATCCTTACAATTTTACTTCAATTCTTGAGTAAAGGCTGTACAGCTTGGCCTTTGCTCCTGGAAGGTTTGGCTTGCCAAACCATTTGAATGGACTAAATTTCTTTATTTTTGGATTCTCAAATTGAGACACCTTAAAAGGAGTGATTTTCAGACATCCAGTAGTCAGCAGGGTTTGCAAATCAAGAAAAATAGCTTACATGTCTCCTGGCTTTTCTAGATCAGGTGAGAAAGGAGAGTTAGAAATTCAAAAGCTCTTGACTAGGGTTTGAGGGATTCACATTAAACACCAACTTCTACCTCAGAGTTCCTGTCCATCTCCAGACAAGCCTCATCTACCCCCTGGAAAATGAAGGGCAGAGGGGACCTCCCCGGTCCCCTCTGAGGATGGTCCTGCTGCCTCAGGGGAGATGCAGAGCAGGATTTGGCTGGAGCCATGCTGATGGCAGGGATATACGGTGGCAATCAAGTACAAAGGGCTGTTTGGTGGCCTTCAGGAGATAAGCCACAGAGCACACAAAGGGATTTTTTTAATAACGACAGGTGAAAGAGCTGGCACTGAAAGGGAGATTACTCATTTGTTCTCAGACCTTTGTTGTTAATCACACCACACCTATGATGAGAGCAGCGGAAAGCCCTTGGCCTTACCCCACAGCTGGGTTGGTGCCACTCAATGCTCCCTCTTGTCTGCGAGCAGGCTGGTGACTGGTGATGGAGAGGAGCGAGGGCCGAGCACAGCGCGGGCCCAGCCGCCACTTGGCAGGAGGCAGGGAAGCGAGTCTGGCCACGGAGAGATGTAATAATTAGAAATGAATGGCAATGACACTGCCTGGGCATGAAGAGGCCTGTTCACCAGGGGAGAATGGGGCTATCAAGTAAATCAAGCGTTAGCTGCTGGTTCCGACTGGCACAAGAAGAGGCAGCGTTTGGCCTCCAGCAGCCACAGGCATCAGGCACCAGCGCAGGGAGAGGCTGTGCAGCCCCTCACCGACCTGTGCAGCTGCTGCTCGCCTCCCATCCCTTTGCCACATGAGTTTCTCTCCTTGTTTTTGCTAAATAGCTCATTTTCTTCTCTTTTTCTCAGGGAGGAAAATGAGTCTGATCCCCAGAACATCTTTGTAGAGGAGGACTGTTTTTCACCATTTCCCCAGAGCAGGTCAGGGCTAGGAGTTTCAAAGGATTAATTGTTACTCTCGTTGCCTAAATTTCTGCTAAAGAAACACAAAATAATTGTATTTAGGAGGTGCAGATTGGCTAAGAACCTCTTTTTCCCCTTCACCCACTCATGTCACAGGGGAAAGAAAGCAGCTGCCACACATTTCAGGCCACCACATATTCATCTTTGTTCATCCATTGACCTGATAAAACAGAGTACATCTCTCACTGCAACAGAGGCAGATGCCTCCTAGTGATGACCACAACCCTTTAAAATGCCCACGGTGCCTATCGTGCTCATATGTTTCCTTACTGCAGCCAGCCCAGCCACTGTCCTCCCCAGGATGCTCCACCAAGGCACAGGCTGGGGTAGCACTGCTTTCCCAATGCTCCGTGTTATCTTCTAAAGCAGAATAGACTACGTTTAGGTTGGACACCACCCTTACACGTGATTAACAAAACTTTCTACCCTCTTCTTAATGCTCCACTTTCCTGGTGAGCACTGGATCTCTTGTGTGACAGGGATGATAGGAGGAGGCCTTTGTGTTGGCAGTTGGGTAGCCTGTCTGGCCAAAATGGCTCTCCTCCCTCCATCCCTCCTGTCACCCCTATCCCAGTTTCCATTAATTCATTTCCCCTTCCTATGCCTGAGAGCATGTCTGAGGTGCCAACCTTGCCCTAGGCCATATTCTTTCTTCCAGCTGGCAAGCAGTCTAGGAGCAGCAGCAGCTTGCTCCCTCGCCCAGCAGCTCTCCCCAGCCACCTTCCTCCTGGGATCTCTTGCATCATGAATTTTTGTCAGGACCTGCAGTGGCAGATGATTCAGTGCAAGCTTACTGGTGTGGAGCAGACCTAAAAGCTATGTGGAGGCTTTGGAAGGTCCCTCTGAATGACTTCACTAGGTGGGACGCAGAGCACTAACAATGCGGGTGCATGGAGAGGGCATGCTGACAGTCACCTTCAGTAACAAAACCCAGCAGCTCAGATCTTCTCATCCTGTTCCAGCCACTTTGTGCTACTCAAACAGCACCAACCCTGGGACTAAATAGACAATAGACAACTATAGTTTCCTTAAACACAGAGGTGTTCATGGCATGTCAAAAGCACAATGTCCTGCTCCTTAAAAAAAAAAATAATGAGAAAATGAGAAAGAAGAGGAAGATATCCATCAGCTCCTAAACAGTACAACCTCCCTACGGGTCAAGCTATCTGTAAGAATGAGTTACCTGCCTCTTCCTCTTGAAGCACAGCTCAAATACGAACTCGCTTCACCAATGCTTCACCATCTCCTCCCAAAGGTACCTGTGGCTTATACCAGACTTGAGAGAAGATGTCAGCACTTGTCCTCTCCCACGGGAGCCTTTGCCCTGAGTTTACAGCTCAATCAGGAGCCTGATACCAGGCAGGGAGGGGGGCATGCAGGGGATGGAGGAGAAGCCCAGGGGTGTTGGTGATGCCAATTAGCTGCCCTGAAGATCATGTGCTGACCACGACTGACTTAGTCGGCAGACAGGACAAACCCCATTTTTTTCTCTTTAAACATCCATGAGAGACCAAATACTAGTAAGTGAAAGGACAGAAAAATCTGAAGTGTCCAGCAGCTTACTGGACTTCAAGGAGAAGCAAGTCAATAGCATACTTTGCATTTCCACCATTTTTTTTTGCTCATTTTCCTTTTCATCCGATCCACAAAAATGAATTGAAATACTACAGCGACTCTGAGCATCACAATCCTTTTGTAGAAAATACCACATTGGGCCTGCTGTGACACAACTGGAGAATCAGTTAATATTGTTTTTCATAAAGTTGGGAGAGCTGGTCCCCAAGGGCACATACCAAGTCACTTAGCAGCCATCCTGCCATAATAGCTTTCAGCTTTCCAATATAACTTTCCCTGGGTTTCCTCCAAAAGTTAATAAGACTGAAGGTGCCTGAAACAAGTTCATTCTATAGAATTCCCCTAACTTGCCATTGCACAGCAGATGTGGGACTGCAGGGCTAATGCATTTGAGGGTTTATTTGTTAACTAGGTGGTCTGGCCAGTGATTGTTCACACTGCTTCCCTTGCTGGAAGCGTGCACAGCTGGGCGATTGCCAAAGGCAGCAGCGGTACCCCCAAGCATGACCAGCCACACCAGATTAGCAGTGAACCCAGGCCACCCATCCACATCACACAATTTCCAGTCAACCTTCCATAACACTGAGAGTAGAAATGCGATGAGCAGTATGAGAGGTAACAGGCTTGGATTCATCAAAGGAGCACAAGTGAATACGGCACCTGGTCGCTACCGAAAGCCATCAGGAATTGGGCAGCTCAATGCTGTAAGTCAAGTCAGAACCTGCAACCCAGCCATTCCCACCACAACCAAGCCAACCCCAAAGGTAACTGCTCAATTTATCACTGTGACTTGGGGATTAAAAATAGAACTTTTACACACAGAATTTGTACCAGTTGTCCAGAAGCAATGTGGTACTCAAAAAGGTCAAACCCAAATGCCTTTGCTTTCTTTATGTCACTTAGTGACTTCTCAAATAGTTATTATCTGCATGAAGATTATTCTGAGTGGTTTATTGGACAATTATAACTTGTCAGTAATTAGCATAAAATGACAAGGATTTAAGGGCAGGACAACCCATCATAAAGAACTTTTGAGACACAGCTCTTATGCTGGTACTTAACACGGTATTTAAAGAATGATTCATAAACAGCTAGAGGTCAAGCAGCTATTTTGTATAATGGATACAAGAAGAGCTGATAGTATGATTTACAGCTCCAAAGAGTTTCTTGCTCTTGAGAAGACAGTCTTTGTCTTAATGATATCCAACTACTTCACCTTTGGAAAAACAAATCTTGCAATACACACCTGGCTTTTTATCTGAGCTCTTTAGAAGGTGCCAGGAAGAGAGCAACAAAGACAGTGATTGACTCCAGGCCCCTTCTGTGCATCTGCTTCATTAGAAGATATCTGAAAAGAAGAGGAATAATTTTACTTTACTCGAGAGCGTCTGCATAAGACTTCAGAAAAGGTGTTACTTCTTGAAGGCATGCCTGTGGATATAATCCTCAGTCACATTCTCTCCATTCTGAGTTTGATAGCAAGTGGGTTTGTTTGCCATCTGTCATGTTGGGCCATCAGGTGATTTTCCTCAATGGTTGATCCTGAAATCTGGACCCCATCCCCTCCCATGTGAGGGCTTTTCATGCTATTTTATGCAGAGAAAGTGGAGCTCAGCAGCATGGGGACTTGCTCTGTTCTCTGTAAAGACTCAAAGATAATTAATCTTGCTACTGTCGTGTAGGTAAGTACACAAAACCTGATACAGCAGCCTAGAAGCAGCCAAGTGATCCCAGGTGTCCTCAACCTCATTTGCCATTGCTGAAATCTACTGGCTAAAGATCCCCAGTTCCATTTCAACACCAAATTTCTGCCAAATCTCCAATGTCTACTTCTTTGACTATGATGCAATCCTTCCTTAGACTTACAAACCCATTTCCTTCTCAGTTGCAGGGGATTAAATTTCTTTCAGAATCAGCGGAAGCAGTCTGTGCTCTTACAAATAATGGATTGGTATTAGGGCAAATACATCTCTGATCTCATTCATCATTTGCTTCAGTTCTCCTGGTAAAATAGACAATATATCAGTCTTTTGACAGTCTGCACAGACTTCTTAATGTCTTGGAGGAAAAAGCTTTGGCATCTGGTGTAGCCACTGCAGCTCCAGCAGTGTGGGAACGTGGGGTGTTGAGGACAAAATTCCTGGATGCCAGCAATCCAGTTATAATGACCTGTGATGGCTTTCACTGAATGTGCAACAGTGGAGGCCCTGCAAAATTATTAATTTTCGCATGGCTTCTTACCAGTAACCTGCCTGAGAAACCTGAGGCCTCTTTGCTGCCCGTTCATTTGTATCAGCTTGCTCCTCTGAATAACTTTCCTTCTCACATGTCTCATCTGTGAAGTGGTGCAAAAGGGTATTTAATAAGCTATCATCTCAGTTAGTGATAATGAGAAAATTGAAACAAGCTGTTCCATAAATGTGATCATTATCTAGTAAATTAAATGAGACATTCAAAGTGTCCACCCAGCAATGGTAAAGGAACTTCTCGTACTCGGCATTTCTTTTATGTTGGAGAGAGAAGAAATGATCAAGTCTCCCACAAACCAGAGACTTCAATGGACACACTGTCATTAAAATCATCTGGCTTTCCACACTTGCTGCAATGGACCCAGCACAGTAACTACTGGCCGTTCAAAGCTGGAGGAATTCATCTCTGGGTGTTGCTGGTGCTAATGGGCTAGTTAACAGGGACCAAATTTTTGAGGTTTGTCTTCCTGAGCGTGATGCTGGAGACACCGTATATCACCAGGGAACACCGTAAGAATTGCTGTGGTGCACATCATACCTGAAAACTCACTGCAGATATCCAGAGAGGAAAAATAAAAAACACAACAACAACAAACAAACAAAACCCACAAAATTCAAAAGCCAAACAAAACAGTTTTCCAATAGGTGGAAGGAGGAGAGGAGCAGTCTGAACTTCACACCTGGTTGTTGCCAGGATGGCACTGAATAAGAGGGAAAAAAAATCAAGCTACATATTTCTGTGCTATACCTAAATGCCTTAAACTCTAAGCCTCAGACAATAAATTTACTTCAAAAAATGACTGAGGAAATCAGGAGTTCGTACTTGGTCTTTTGTTTCACCATGTAAAATTTTGGCAAAAGCAAAATAATTTTCTTCTGTGTTCCTCTTTGTGGTTCTGTTAATGCTGTTTCACCTTCCAGAGAGGAAAATAAAGACATTCGTCACCCCAAACCAATTCCTCCTTGCCCTGACAAAAGCTGACCAGTAGAAGTGCCCTCTCGTAGGCTGGTTGCTTGGCCCCAGCTCTCTGCTCTGGGATTTGGGGTTTTTGTAGGAGACAACAGGAATGGCCTATGGGCTTCTCTAGGGCAGGAGTAGCTTGGCAGGGTGGTGGAAATGCCCCTGGTCCATGCCAGGTCAACCCGTTCTCTTCACCCCAGTTACCAACAGAGCCTGACATGGGGCTGGCCAAACCAGCAGCATGGGGTCTGAGAAGGATCTGGCCCCAGAGTGTAGGAGCCATCTCCTAACAGGAGCCCTGCAGAAGACATTTCTGCAGCTAGATTCCTTGTATCTAACTATGCTTCAGCCTGCAGTTGCTTGTCAGATGCCCTCAGTGAAGCACAGCAGCTCCAGGTCTTTTGTAGCTTAGACAACAATCTCAACAAACCACAAACAAGACCAAACCACGAAACGCAGAGCAGGTCCATGCTATCCCCAAAAAGCCAAAAGCGCCTTCAAGGAGGCTGCAGCAGAAGTAGAAGGCACTGAGCACCTTCCATGAGAGAGCTTTGCTCTGAAAAGGCCCCCACTCTCCCTTTCTCACAGATTATCCTTGGGATGGAGTAATAATGCAGGTGAGGGGCACAACGCACTAATCAGGGGGTCTGGAGCCATCTGAGTTAAAGGAAACCTCGGCGTGAGGGCAGGAGCTGCAAGCTCCAACTGGCCATTGGAGGGCAAACTGCTCCAAGCATTGCTGCGCCGTTCAGGATCAGCATTACTTACTCTGTCTGCAGCCAGCCTTCTTTCTTCCAAGATTAACCAGGCCAAGCTTCCAAGGGGTTTTAATTGTTTGGAAATTTTGGAAGGGCTCTAACAGGCTCTATTTCAACCAGACAGAAATGTTGGAAAAGGCAGCGAGTGAGGCTGGACATGCTGGGACTGTCCTGCAGCTCCCAGGTCAACGCAGGAATTCCTCTTTTCCCCGACGGCAGAAAAATTACTGCAAAAAAAATGACAGTCAGAGCAGGCTGCTGGCGAACGTCAGACTGTTATAAGTAGGGTTTGTGCTTATCCAGGTTTAACTCCTAATGGAGAAGGCAGCGATTTCTTTTTGGAGAATGGCCATTTTCGTGACTGGTTGATTTTCAGTACACCTTCTGGCTGGCCAGTAGTTCTGATAAGCAGTATTGATTAACAAGGAGCAGATACTGGAGCCCATCAGCACAGAGAGGTGCAAGCTGTCAGAGGATGACCTGAAGATCTCTTTATCCCTCCGGTTTTTCCCAGCAGCATCTCTCTCCTTCATCTGTCTGCACGCATCTCCACTCTTTAATTTCACAGGCTTTTAGCATGTATAAGCAGCAAAGTGGCTTCTTGGCAAGTATCTTTGCCTTCCTTTATTTATTGGTCTATCCATCTGCAGATGTGGCCCTCAACAAGCACTTCTTACTTAGCATAATGCTAGGACAGAGAAAAGACTGTCATCCTGAAAAATGAGAAATACCCTCATGTATCTCCTTCCTCGGCTCACTAAGCAGAGAAGTAACTGGAGCTGAGGTCAGCTACAAAACGAGGAAGCAGGTGGGCCTGTACCTGCTCTCTCCGGCGAGCTGTTACTGCCATCTGAGAGTCCTCAGAAGGAACAAACGGAGCTGCTGTATTTCTCCATTCCTTGAAGCATCATGGAGCAACTGACTAGCAAAGCTCATCCAAACACCAGTGCTCAAATGGATTGTCACGGAAATATCCCAATTCGCAGTCAAAAGGCACGGTGTTGCAACTGGGTTTGACAGGAAGGCTTCTAAGGCAAAGCCAATCTGCGACTGGCTGGCCTGCTATCGTGCCCCTAGTGCAACAAAAAAAACACAAGCCATGAAACTTTTGAAAGCTGCCACAAAATGACCTTCACCTCTGCTTGGCAGAGCTGGGTAACAAACCCACCCTGTCCCTGCTAGGAGGGACCAACTCGTCCAGGCTGCGATTCTCTCGGTGACCATGTGGAGCTGGAGGTGCAAACACGGCAATGCTTCTTGCAGGCCTGGCCACCTTCCCATTGCTATGAACAGTTCTGCTTGAGTAATCAGCCTGTGAGGGTCCGGCAAACTCCAGTGAGCACCAGCTTGGCTTGGCAGGTGGACACCTTGCCTGGGCTGAAATGAGAGGCACTCGTGCGGAGAGGCTGGTGGAAAGAGAAACCAGCTGGCATTCAGGGCAGGGAGAGCAAGCAGAAACCGGGCACCAGGCACAAGGGCAGCAACCACCTCGTGGCTAAGCCTCTCCTGACTGATCGCAGCTCAAATCCTTCTTTAAATCCCCGCAGAGAGGAGTTCAGGGCCCTGCTAATCCCGTGCCCTCACATCTGCACAGCTCCGTTACGCAGCGCGGAGCAGCTGCTGTCACTGCAATGTATTTAGCATCTACACCTTCACGGTGCTTTTGTTCCTTTTGGCCTGTCCAGCCTTTGGCTGTGTCTGAAGGCTGCACAACAGCAGTACCCGTGTTACGTGAGGGAGACTTGCAGTCCACACGAAGCACAGCCTGGGGTGGAGGTGCAAGCTTTCCAGGATGGAGCCCCCAGCCTAGAGGCCAAAGCACCAGATCCCTACCTGGGTGTGAATATGGCACAATTTGGGCATTAAACACGACCAGACTGCTTGAGCATTGCAGTTTTCAAGCACATGGTTTTTCAAACACTGGTTTCTGCCCTCTGCTCCTGCAGAGCAGCAAGCTGGACCAAGCCAGCCAGGATGTCTTTCCATTTAACTCTTGCTCCAGCAGGCATGGGAGGTTGGAAGCATCTGATATCCCAGATCACGGCTTCCAGATCATTACACGAATAATATCAGTACTCACAAAATAATAGTAAAAACATCAGGAAAACCTTGGTTGTCTGACTCCAGTTCCAGGTCAAAAGGCAGTATTATCAGTGCTCACACATGAGCTCAGCTCCTTTGACGAAGGAGCAACTGCCTAATCCCTGCCTGGACTCTGTCCTGGGTTTTTAATGCCTGATTAACTACCCCCTGCCAGGATGATTGTGCATCTTTGCATATTTTGGAGCTGTCCATTTCTATTTATCATCACAGACAAGAAACTGTTTAAACCAACTCTCATTTGCATTGGCAATTTAAAGTACCATGTGTTGGTTTGTAG